CATCTGCTTTGGATGTGGCACCTCTGATCACTGAATTGAAGTAAATCCTTAACGCTGGACTTTTAAAGTTATGTGGTGTTTTGAAATGTCACTATCTCCCAGCAGCTTTCCAGAACTGAGTGGGATACCACCTTGTCTTGTCTGCTAGATCATAAATTGAAAATCCTACATCCTCTAAGCAGACAGAAGGATCTCTGGAAGTATTACTTAGTATATAGACTTCTCTAAAACAGTTACTTTAGCATGAGCAGTGAAGCATGAAGTTTTTCTCATTGTAGGGATCTGAGATGATCTGTTCATCTGTTAATGTATATTCCATAGTCAGGGTTTCACTCACAAGGCAGTTGCTGCTAAGCAGACACTTCCTCTGATGACATTACTGCTTCTAATATGTGAGCAAAAAGTCCTGGAGGCATTATAGTTTTAGTGGTACCTATGTTTAAGCCTTCCTTGTGGTTACCTTTAAATCACTGTTCTCCTTTAATATGTGTGCCAAAATGTACTTTCTCCTACATATATCTGGGGCCATCCGCCATATCTGTTACACGTGCTGAAGATGAAATATCCAAACAAAAGGCTGTTGTACTAAAGAAATAATCTGGGTGGTTGTTCTCCTTCATCCCTCTAGTTACCTGGCATAAGAGTGTGGCTTTGTGATCGTAGTAGTATCTGCCATTAGTATGAAACAGAATGCCTGGGAGGCCCTTGCTTATCTTTTTCTCAGCTTCTGTTAAGGAAGAAATAAAGATAACCTGAGGGATCTGCAAAGACATAGCTCCCTCTTCGTGAAAAAGACATTACAGTTTCTTACAATGAACAACAATGTTTGAAAATTGTAAGAGCTGTTAAAGAAAGTGTCCCATGGTTACCTGGTAACTGGGCAGTTTGGGTTTTTTTTAATTTGTAAAAGTAGTATCTGAAAATGGGCATCATCTGCTGCATTCCAAAAGGATTTAAATGTATGTAAAATTAATAATTAAATATTGGTTTAATGCTGTTATTTACATTCAAATCTACCATGTAAACTTGCCTGTCATAACTAAATTAAAAACAGTGATTATTCTGCTAAAACCTCAGACTAGCATGGCCTTGCAAATGATTTGACATATGCAGTTCAGGTAGTTTCTGTTTGAGTAAAATGCATTGCAGTATCCTCAGGGATCTCATATTTACTGTCTTTATGTGAATAATTCAGTCTGAGATCAGACCGAGTAGCCAATATCTGCTTTGCCTGTGAGTACTGTTATGCTGATCTAGCTGATATGCATGGCCAGTCATTTGAATGAGGTGTGCAACATGAATGTCTGGTAAGATGCCTTAGTGTGGAATGGTCTCCTTTCAGTGACTCATAATTAAAATAATTTTCTATTATTTTATATCTTACGGCAAACTGCCACCAGAGCATTGTTGCTTAGTGTCTTGAGCAAGAGCCATAGGATGTGTGAAGTGAATGTGGAAGCCTGAAGCCTCCAACATGGATTCTTCAAAAAATACAGAGTAACCTCTTTTCCTTATAACCTGTTATTTGTAGAGGGGCAAGACTGTCCCTCTTTCTTTGCCGAAATTATCCAGTGGAAAATTATTCAAGGAAGTCGTCTTCATTGAAAAAGAAGGATTAGAATTTAGGTTGGCGTCAAGCTTGTTTATAGAGGTTACCACAGATTTTTATAACATCTCCAACTGTACCTATTAGATGACAGCCAATAGTGGAAATAAGCTTTTAAGCAATTTGATACAGTTGAAATAAATCTGTTTTCTATTTCTTCCTCAAAGACCTTTTTTTCAAATGCTGGTCTAAATCTCACTTCTGTGAGCGTAAAAGATCCCATGAATTAAGGCAGCAACACTCCTGGACCCCTATACTGGTATAAAGTATTTTTTGAGATTTCAGGTAATTCTAATAATTGTAATTGGTTCACTATTTCTGTCTGAGTTTTCTGATCTGTTGCCACATTAAATAGAAATGAAATAAAGAATTAGAATCTTTTTTAAAAACTCTACTAGGGAAGTGTGTAAGAGCAAGTGTGCTTTTTAAACTATCCATGTCATATGAATATCCCTTATCGCCATATTGTGCACAGCCTAGTTACGGCAATAGGGAGCAACAGCAGGATACTTCCTTCTGCTGCTCCAGCAGAACTTGTCTACCACAGTGGGTGGTGTATAGCCTTTGGTACCAAAAAGTTGGATTCTTTAAGTATTGGTGTTCTTGGCATGGAAGAATTGAAGCACCAACTTTAGCTGGTGTATATATTCAACAGATTCCCACACAGATTTAGTTTTGGAACTACGTATAACAGATAACATATTGCTCTCCTACAAACATCTGTATGTTTGCAGTCATTTCTTCATAACAGATCAAATGTGTCTACTTGCAATGTCTACTCATACACTATGACGGAATATATTTATGAACTGGAGAACAATATTTTGTGGTCTTACAGAGTTACTTCCAAAGTGTGAGTGGCAAAAGGAATGATTGTCACCACTGCTTTTTCTTAATCCTCTAAATGTTGTTTCTACATTGCTTCTCTACAGCATCAAATTTTAATTTTTCTGAATTTCCTGAGAGCACTAGTAGACTTTTCCTTTTACAGCAGGGAGAAGTATTAGTCAGTATACAGTAAGACTATTGTTATTTTTCTTTTTGTCAATTTTGTTTCAGGAGTGAATGGTGGGAGGAAAAGCTTACATTCACTATTGTGGCTCTGCTCTAAACCTCAGGTGGGATAAACTTAATGCATGAGTTAATATGACAGTCTGTGAGGTTGAAAATGGCTTACAGATTTTCAAATTATGCCTGAAAAGCCACTTAAATACATGGAGTATGCTGATACAGAGGAGGAACAACATCTGTTTCTTACTTGTCTTGAAAATGCCTGATGTGTAATAGCTTAGTCATCAAAGAAAGCAAGCAAGCTGAAAGAATATAGAAGGACACCTTAATAAAATAATTCTTAAGTAAACTTCAAGTCAAGTATCTAGGATTGGTTAGTTTAAGAATGGAAATTTGAGAGATGGTATACGAGTATAGAAACAAAAGCTGAAGTAACTTTTTCTGATCACAGCTTATAGAGACCATGAAACCTCAGTTCTACATCATACCTTTTAAAAATGTAATCTTTTATCTGCATAATGGACAAATAAAACACATGAAGAGGAATAGTCTTCACTGAGTGAGTTTAATGCAAGGTATAACCTAGCTTATCAGAGTAGAGGAAAAAGTGTGTTTTAAACACCCAGTGATAACTTACAGGATTGCTTAAATTACCTTCTTAACTTACTGTCTGAGTGTTCTCAGGAGGTTGTGTAGGTCATCTTGTCCAATCTAGTGCTCAAAGCAGGGTGAAGATTAAACTCAGAACAGGTTTTTGTTCAGTTGATTCTGAAAGGTACCAAGGGCAGGGTTTACACAACTTTTCTTGGCTGCCAGTTCCCATGCCCAGCTGCCACTGAGAATTTTTTTTTCTTTATCTCCTCTTCCCGAGGATGCACCTCCATAAAGAGCTGTGCTTTATATTCTCTTCAATATTGCAAAGCTATTCTTTGAATTTCCCTAAGCCATCTTTTCTCCAGGCAGAACCAGTCTCTTGTTTCTATTAATAGTGAGCAAACCCTAAGGAATCTGGAAGTGGTTCAGAACGGTTTATAGCAAGCTTGGTTATAAAATGTGATTGAAGGTGACATTCAAATAGGCTTTAAAAAAAAAA